GGCCTAGTGGAGTGTCATGGCCTTGCGGTTAAGAGCACCGGAGTGACCGGACTCATGTTCTGGTGTTTCAGAGGCAACAGTGACATGGGTTTGTGCCTGTCGGTGGACACTTGTGCAGTTAAGCTAGGCACTTAACCAATCTTGCTTCGTCCTTCGGATGGGACGTAAATCCGTAGGTCCTGTGTGTTGTGTAATGCACGTTAAAGAACCCAGTAACACTTGTCGCTAAGAGAAGGGGTTTGCCCCGGTGTCCTGGCCGTGGCCGCAGCACCTTGTAAACCCTTATAATAAGGTGCTACATAACTAGGACGGTGCTACATAATGGGTCTCATATTATTTTCTCATGTACTTCATTCATCTAATAAAAATAATAGACATACTCCCAGTGCGTTGAGTACCTATACTCCGTTGCGATAATGCCTGAATAGGTTTCTGCAACGTAACCATACAGATACAGATACAGATGCCGGCGGCCGGCCGGCGAAGCCTGCGTGTGATGATTCAGCACCGCCATATTGTTTTCACTCATGCTCGTGCGTACTTGCCTACTTCTACTTATCTAGGTGGACACAACGGACGAGTTGACTTTTCCAGTTGAACGCACAACGGTCGAGTTGGATATCGGACGAGTTTGACAATGGACCAGTTGACTTTTCCAGATGAACCCGTATGGTTGAACGCACAATGGTCAATTTGGTTCAACGGTCGAGTTGGCAAACGGTCGAGTTGACCTGACACTAGTTCTACATGTTCTAGAATCCTAGAAGTTAGAACTTAGAAGTATTAAACCTGATCCTACCTTAGCCCGACTGCGTCTGGCCGTACAGTACTATCGCAAGCTCCGTACTACAGAGCTTGCGATAGTACTGTAAGGCCAGACGCAGTCGGGCTAATCCTACCTGTGGCAGAAAGATGAACTTGTTCCGGTTGTGGCTTCACCTGACCATTAATCCTCGCAACAAGACAAACACAAACAACTAAAACCTGAAACCCGGAGATTTCCATCATTGCTGACTCTGTTTTGAATTCAAATAAAGACACTTATCGAAAACAACTAGCCTCCTCAAAACGTCACCGTATTGGCGCGGCGCGCGTCAATTTAATGTTTTCTCATGTTTGTTTCCGTGTCATCATTCAATCATGTGACCACACACAGGCAAGTCACGTGCCTGATTTTGCGCTCACGTGGTGCATTTGCTTTCTGTTTACTTCAGCTTGGCGATGGCGCAGCGTAGCCTTTCGCCAAGACCATCGTGTCATTATTCCATTTTTCCACATCCAATGCAATTTGGGGAAAACTCATTTGGGGAAATCTGATTTTCACTGAGCGACATGACCGTCGCGACGGTCATGACGGTCCGGTCGGATTACAGTCAACTCGACTCGAACCAACTTGACCGTTTACCAACTTGACCATTGTACCAACTCGTCTGTTGACCAACTCGACTTCACTGTTAAGTCAACTCAACCGTTTGCCAACTCGTCCATTGTAATTTTATGTAACTCTAACCTTGGGTTGTGTGATTTTCAGTGTGCATACTACTCTTGGAAAAAATGTTGCAACCTGACGCCACTTTTTTCTTCATACATGTATAGTCGTGTTCCCTAACGTGGCGCACTTTGAGGCTTACCCAACTTTCCTCGTGTAGTGTTGCCAAACCTCTTTGTTGATAAACCTCAAATTCATGCAGTGAAATGCTGGTACTTTTACCTTTTTAATGCTTGCGTTTTAACCTCTGTGAACAATTTCGGTTTCATAAAATTTAATCCGAAATGCAAAAACGGTCGCGTCCGGAAATTGGGCACAAATTGGCGGAGTGTTCCCTAACGTGGCGCACTTGAATAAATCTCAGAAAATTCCAAATTAACATTTAAGAATTTCTGTAAACTTGATAAATTCTGATAAATCATTATTATCTTTACTTACAAACCCAGCCAGATGTTTGTCAGAAAATTATTTTCTTATTTTTCGGGGCATTTTCAAAGGGTTCACTTTGCACTTGAAAATAAAATCGGAAAATCACGCCAAAATGATTTTTTCTTTTAACTTTGTAACGGGTAAATAAACTCACGATTTATGAACGGGAGTGTTTAGAACTTGATGAAATTTCACTTTCTGTGAAATTTCAGTTAAAACTTTTGCTCTAGCTAGGCGCTACAGGCGAAAAATAAAAGTGCACCACGTTAGGGGCCGCGCCACGTTAGGGTACATCAACAATATATCATCTCAATGAAGGCCATTCATTGCAAAATGGATGATAAGACATGAATCTGGGACTGAGAAACATTTCAAATTTTGTTAGGAAATACTTCGAAAATTTTCTTGACTCTCCATAGACTTTGTACACAATCGCAGAAGTGGCGCCAGGTTGCAACATTTTTTCCCTACTCTTTCATATAGCACGTGTTCGTCGCAAGGGCGGATCCGGGGGTGGGCCAAAGGGGGCCATGGCCCCCCCCCCCCAAAAAAAACGAAACCAATTTTTTTATTTTTTTATGTGACATCGCAATAAAGGCAGGCAATGAGTACACCACCATCTTTTCCTCAAAAAACATTGGTTAAAGTGGTCAGAAATTGCCTCAGATCGCACCACAGAGCATCTAGAATCCAAAAATTTTTTTTGGCCCCCCCAAAAAATTGTGTTCTGGATCCGCCCTTGGTTCCTCGCAGCTATTCGGGACGATTTTTGTTACGCTCAATAAATCAGCACAGCCAGCTCCGTGTTCTGATTGTACGTTGATGTGTCATGGCCTAGTGGAGTGTCATGGCCTAGCGGTTAAGAGCACCGGACTCATGTTCTGGTGTTTCAGAGGCAACAGTGGCGTGGGTTTGAGCCTGTCGGTGGACACTTGTGCCCTTAAGCTAGGCACTTAACCATTCTTGCTTCGGAGAGCGGCGGAGCTCCATCCAGCACTGCCGACGTGCTTCGCAAGTTTGCACGTCCGGCCGGGAAACAAGTCTTGAGAATGAACCACTGATGCCAGAGTATCGCGCAAGGCATCTTCAGAAGCAGATAACTTCTGGATACCGTCGGCATTGGCCTTTAACCGAGCATCGATGTCCCGGCGAGAACTAGGCTGACCTTGGCCTGGTTGGAGCGATTTAGTGTCGTTAGGACGATTCAGTCTTCCTTACATTATTTTCCATATTCAAATTTTTGTTATTAATCTGGGACAGACCAAATAATTTGCACAATTGCTCGTGATTTGTCAAAATGTATAAACATAGTTATTGTTATTAGAAATAGATGACTTTTACATGTGCATATAAATATGGGTAACTTTAAATCGATCCAGTCATGTTTCTTAAACTATGCATGAAATACATTATCTTTATCAGCCTCAATTGTGTAAAGCATAGTACTTTAATGAACAGAATATTTTACTGTGTCTGTAATATGCTAACCCCTCCTACGCTAACATACATTCTGTGCCAAGTTGTCATTTCAGTCAAAATCAATCAAGTGACGGTTTTCAGCAGTTAAGAGCTCCCAGCCATACATAAAGCAGGATTGACTGCAAAGGTGATTGTCTGACTAAAGGTGATTGTCTAGGATCGCCTGTTTTTGTCTGGTGACTGAATTTGACAAGTCAGAGTTCTTGCTTGAAATATGATCTGACTGTTGGTGACTAGCCTGTGTAACAGGCATGGCAGGGGAAGTGGATGGAAATTTTAACTGTCTGTGACTGTTCAAACAGTAGTAGGGTTGAAGTATATGCAACATTAACTTATGTAATGTTTCAATGTTTTATACACAGAGTATTTTATTGCATCTTTGTAATCATAAAACCCCACCTCACCTTTTTTTCAAAATATAACCAAATAACTGAAGTACCATGTACTTCACACATTCATAATTTGAAAATGTGTCTAACAAATATTTATGACTTTAATTTATGAAATATGTATAATACTCATACACGTTTTTGGTAGTTCTAGTTGTTCAGATAGTTGTTCAGATAAAATTCATAGTCTCGTCTATTTGTTATATGCCATTACTTTATTTTTGGGGAAAAAGCAAAATATCTGACTACCTGAATATAGCTTTTTGTTAATAACAACTTTAAAACTAACAAACTTTAACAAAATGATTCTGGTACATTTTATTAATAATTGTTTAAAGAACAAAGAATCATTTGCTTTTTCTGTGCAAATGTTTTGTTTGAAACAAAAAAATTGCTAAAAATATTTAAAACCTGTTGAAGTTTCAGCTCATTGAGCACTAACCGTTTTGAGAAAACGGAATATGCGTGCACAGTATTTTGGTTCTCGTATAACTGCATTCCGTTGCTAACTCTCGTAAAAAAAAGTGTGCCTGCTGGCACCCTATTTTGAAACCACTCTCAATGTTAGTTTTCTTCCCAATGATACCATTTCAGGTGGAACAATTTCACAGGTGTTTGACACCAGTCCTATCTTCAATTGAGCAAGGTTTCTGTCATTAAATTGTAAGGTACTTTTCCGGGTACATGTACTTGCAATTAAAAATGATCCTACGTGGCTTTAAATTATAGTTCAAGTTGTGAAACTTGTTAACCACACAGTCGAGAGGAACCGAGTTTCATATCTAACCACACTTTTAAATGGTTAGTTTCACTTTAATGTCTATGGTGCATAGAATTCTGGCATTTAAATTTAAAACAATTTTTGATGCAATGTAAATTAATAATATTTGAGCATATTCAGATGTGCACGAAACTCAGAACTGTAGGAATTTTTAAGATTAGAAAGTGAAGTACGTTAAAAGTAACCAATATATACGCTGTAAAAAAGTTGGGCTAAATGGGTTGATAATTCCACCAGTGCTGGTCGAATTATCAACTGCCTATACTCTTGGGCGAATTCTTCCCAATAGTTTGACAGTTTTTTACCCAATTCAACCCCATATGAGGTAATTTCATACCAATGTCGGGTAAATTACATTGCCCAACAGTATTTTACCCAACGTTTTTACAGTGTATATATATATATTTCAAACAATCCTTTCGCAGGATCTTTTCAAAAACAAAATCTTGTATAATTAATTGAACAAAAATAAAACACTTATGTAAAACATTGCCAATTTCTGTGCGCTTTGTAAATTTTACGAAGACATATTTTTGTGATTAAAAAACCCCAAAACATCATAATCCTCAGTAAGCAGAAACGTTGGTATCATAACTATTGCAAAAAATATATATTTGCACATTCAAGTAGCTATATTAAATTAAACTTTGTCATTACGCTTACCAACTTTGGCATATGTGAGCTGTTCTGGCAAAATGAAATGGAACTAGGCACAGGCCAAAACAAATTGCAAAAAACAAAACAAAACGCATGGGTTGATTTGTTTTTAGATTTTCAGATTTATTGATATTATTTTGTAATCTTTGGTATGTCTATTACAAATATTTTAAATAGTATAATAATCGTGGAATAAAAGTGTTTTTAAGGAAAAAACAGTTGGCATCTTTCGCATCCAAAACTACAAAACTCGAAACTTTTAAGGTCCTTTTCTCAGGATTTTACTTTCTTGAGATGTCGATAAATGAGAACTTTAAACAGCCATAACTTGTCACTGAAGAGGAATATCTGATTGAGGTTGCAACAACCAGTCTTGTAAGGAGCATTTCGTTCTTGTATATAATACATCTATCTGCAAACCCTCATTTCAACCTCTGCCCAGTTCTGTCTCATTTTGCCAAAACACCTCATATATCACATTTTAATGTAACTTGTAACAATGGAACTTTTAAGTATAGCTGTTTCACACACTGAACAATATTTCCTTTTTCATACAATTAAAAAAAAAAAAAAAAGGTGAGAAACAACACTTAATGACAAGGAATAAATAAGGACTTCTGATAACTAACTATGCATGCTAAGTATGCATGGTTCTTGGTTACATATTTCCCTCTTCCAATAACACAATAAATAAACTGATGCGAGCAGCAAAACAAACCGCAACAGAAATATGTTTCCCTTTTCCTTAAATACAGCTGCTCATTCGTGATCGTCCTCTGCCAAGATTACAGCCAGGCTTCTGGTCCATGTTTGTCTTTGATAAGCATCACTTTGTCGATCACTTCCCCGTGCTGCATGATAAAAAAAAAGACAGAAAGAATCAAGTGAAGATGCAGTCAGGTTTACATGATGTACAAAGCAGTACTTCAAAATCTGGTGACCCTGGTTAGAATCCCAGCAGGTGCACAAAATAGGCTGGGATCACATGGTCTCCCCTTAGAAACAATAATGTGGTAAGCGCTTATATAGCAGATTTTTTTTACCAAAGTCGCAAAGCGCTTCACGATTATTACCCCTGTTCATCAGGCCATGAGACCATTTTCTGCAGCAGCTCACGATCGGCGCAATCTTGTCTCTACCTTCACAGGTACCCATTTACACTCCCTGGCACAGAGGGGCAATCGCAGTTAAATGTCTTGCCCAAGAACAGAAACACCAAGGCCATGTTCTCTGTCAAGGTACAAACTCGCATACAGTCACGCATGAGTCGAACTCTGTACCCAATGGAGCATAACTATCTCGGGTATTCTCCAAAACATTAAATCCTACAAAACAAAGCCAACTGAGCAAAAACAAGAAGTCAAATATTCAAGTATGTCCAGTTACTGTGAACAAGAAGGCTTCTTGAGCTAAAGAACCAGGGAATTGAAACTGGGTTTTGAAAAACCCTCCCGATTGAAAAGAAAAAAACCCTCTGGAGTCTACCTTATCATCAGAGATTTGCTGCCAAGCTAGGTGAGTCTTGTTGATCACCTGCATCAATGTGAATCCGTAGTCAATGGCGCGGAAAGCATCCCATGGCTTGGGCAAAAAGAAGATACCATGACGGTCTCGGCATCCCTGCCATTTAAACAGACAAAATAAAAGACACCCACAAATTTATTGTTGCCTGATAAATTCCTGATCTACACTTAAAAAGATTCCTAATAAATGCCAATGCTCAGGCAAGATGTCATCTATTCAATTTTATTTTATATTTAGTAATTATTTTTCTATTTCCTCATTACAATTTTGTAGCATAAACTCTTTTTTGTTGTTTTGAAAATGCAAGAAATTAAATGTCTGGTTTAAAATTTGGTGCACATTTTGGGTGAAGAAATTGGGAAGGTAGAATTACCTGCCAGAAAAAAAGGAGAGAACACAAACAAATCTAGCAATTCATCAGCCAAAACAACCCCCCACCAAACACACCCCTCCCCCCAAAAAAAAGATCACTTACCGCCGAACCAGTGATGATGTGCACAGGTGCCTTTGGATTTGTGTATGGTGCATCTTTACTGCCATTGTAAACCTAACAAAAGTAAGAGGAATATTAAATACATGTGCTTCTCTTATCATTTCGATTCCATACTAAAAGTTTGACACAAAAGCCCAGCGACATTTGCTGCATGTTACCCATAAATTGTTCAATTACTCAAACTCCGAAACTGGTATACCGCAGAATAATATCAGTAGCTAGGTACCCCTTCAAAATCGTTCGAATAACTCTGAAATTGAAGTGCCTTTTTGGCAACTCTAAGTTTCCGTACCTTTTCTCGATAGACTGGCCATAGTCTCTCATAGTTGTGCTCGTGGGCCCAGATCTCCATATCAACACCTGTTACAAAATAAACAGGAATACTCATTCAACTAGAAAGCATCTCCATATCAACACCTGTTACAAAATAAACAGGAATACTCATTCAACTAGAAAGCACTCGGAGAGTGCACACCTTCGACAAGGCTTAACAATTTCCCGTCTTTTCACAGAGCACCAATGCACAAATTTGGTTTCTAAAACAAATCCTTAAACTCAAACATTTTGTAGTTTACATGTATTTGCCTGTGTTTGTCTACCTTTTCACTTCCCCATTGTATACAATGGTCTAGTCCATTGACCTGTGTTGTTAGATTAGGTGGGTGATATGGCATACACACAGGGTTGCAGACCATGTAAATCGGTCCGAAATTGCCTACGCCGGCCAAATCACGATTTGCATGCCCTCAAAATCTTCAGTATTTGAGCATGCTGTGGGCCATGAACTTGAGGGTTTGTTAAAAAAATATGGGTGGAAGCCGTGCACAGGACTGTGAGCTTGTAGTTCCGTTCAATTTGGATGAAATTGGGGCCCTTAAAGCGCTCTATTTTGCAATGGAGTGAAGGCATCGTTTTTCAAAATGGTGATGGGCTTCAGGACTATTTTCAGAGGTGATCATCTTCGGATGGAAATTTCTCTTAAAAGTCATCAGTTGACTCCCAAAAAATTAAAAAGAAAATGAAAGATGATGAAATAAGCTTTCATTTGATGTGTGTCCCGATCACCTTGGAGAGTTGTGAGTATTTTCCCCGAATTTCTGAAGTGGGAGCATTTACCATTGGGGTCTATGGAAGTTTATTTACTGGTCTGCAACCACAGGGTCACCGGGTCAGTGCCACGCACACGAAGATAGTCACACAGGGTGAAAGTTTTCCATATGATGGGTGAAAAATCCTTTAAATAAATCCTGTATCCAGACGCGGATTCGGATCACTTCCAAAATCTAATCGATTTGTACTTGTTCCAAGGACAACCCCTAAAACAGTTTTCATGAAAATCCGTCCATAACTTTTCGAGTTATTTTGTTAACAGACAAACCAACAAATCAACGCTGATGACCTCCTTGGCGGAGGTAATAACAAACAACAATTTTTCCATTGCAATTAACCACCGCAAGTTTCGCTGAAGTTTAACAAAAATTCTGTTCAGCTTATTACTAGCAAATACTCAATGACCACTATTAGGGGGTACAATTAACAAAAACTTTGATTAAAAAAAAACTTGTTTATATACTTCTTTATTTATTTCTATTGAAACTCTGGAAATCAAACACTGACCAGAATATTCAAATTTTAATTCTACGTGAGTTACTTACCATACTTATAGAATAAATCCTCCAAAGCTGCTCGCACCTACAAAAATGGAAAGACAAAAAAAATTCGAAACCTCTCAAATTAACGTGAGTTTACTGACATACGAGACCTAGGATACCAGTTTGTACATGGCCAAATTACATACCTATATTTTAAGAATCCAACAGTTGAGGGTATATTGACTGTTTTGAAAAACCTGTGTCTCTAATCAACTTTGAATTATAAAGTCTGTTGCCCTTAACCAATTTGCGCCGGGATTATTTTGACATTGACCGGACCCAGGCGGGATTGTTCTTCACGAACCTCGATGCCAGACGGGTTCAGGCCATCATCTGCGGGTAGCACACACTCATATTTCCGGCCTTGCTCGCGGCGGGCGGGTCGCTGACAGATATTTCCGGCCTCGCTCGTTGCGTGTTTACCCGTCATCCGTTCCAAATACCGCAAAACCTTTGCGTGTATACACGTCATCCGGCAGGATCTGGTTAATCTACAAATCCGTTTTTCTTAGTTGAATCCTCAAGGCCCGAGGTGTTGAGATTCAGACCCAGATAAGGAGATAGCACTCCAAGTATGAGACAAGACCAAAACCAAAACAAATCCAACCTTAAGACTAGGAGGGGTCTCAAGTAATCACATCAATATTAATAACAGCATTTCATTCTCAGAGTTGCTGCCAAGTTCATCACATGTCAAATTAAAAATCCATTACAAGTCAATCACAAGTAAGTGCAGCATCGAGTAACAGGTGATAAACAATAAGGGAATAAATATAGGCCAGGACACGTTTGGCTTGGGCCATTATCGGCGACCAGGCCCCTAAACGTACTCGTTTAATATCGGCTTGCCTAATACCGGCCAGGCATATACTTATTCCCATTCATAAATACTTTTCAGTCAAAAAGTCAAAACAAGTCAAAAATTATAACTTTCCAACGATTTTGTTCAACAATTTTACTTAACGTTTTGTGAAACACCCCTTTAGCTGTGTTAATGGTACGTGCCTCGCACGAATAGTACTAAAAATCTCCTGATATGTAGATTAGCGTGCGTGGCGCACACAAGTGGCGCAGAACGCAGCTGTGTAGGTGTAGTGTGAATTTAGGAATTTACGGACAGCGCATGCCTATAAGTGAAGACACGTGAGTGTTCAACCGATAAAAGGGTAAAAGGGTGATTTCAGAGCCAAACTTCATGTGTGACACCTGCAAAAGTGTTTAAAACCAGTCGGTGTTTTATCAACCGTTTAAAAATACCCATGTGACGGGCTCCCGACCAATAGGAATGGGTAAATTGTCTCAGGTATTTTCGAAGCTCATTTGAATAGCTTTTGACTCAATCTGCAACTGTTGTGATTGGACTGTGATTGACTTGTGATGACCGGACTCCAACTTTATTTGTATAGCATCTCATTCTGGTACAAACGTGTTGCATGCACCATCCAATCAAGATACAGAAGTCAAGTTTCAACTCCAACTCTTTTCACTTTTTCTTGTCATTGTTTTTCATGGAAAACTATAGACAGAGATGAAATTACCCTATGGGGAAAAAATTTGGAAAATAGGCCGAACAAAAATCTGTGTCCGAAATCTGGGCCGCACCGCAGTTACACATATACGTATGTACAGTAAACTTCGTGCCCAATTCCCACACACATTGCCTCCTCTTTTATTTTAGATCTAAACAAAATTTTACGATGTGAAAAGTGTTCAGTGTTTCCACTAAGAAGTTGACTTCTTACTTGAGAACATGGAAAAAGTCGAGGAAGAAGTCCAAGACAAGTGCATCGTTCAACCAGCATGACCAAACAATCCACTAACATAGATGGGAAAAATCGACATCATCGTCTTTTTGTTCAAATCACCACCAGTGAAATGTATCTTTTGTGCACTCTCAGCCAGCCTCAAGATCATCATCGTGATTTTTAGAGCATTGCATTTTGAACAACTAAATCTAAAAAACCTCCGAAAATCGCGCAACATGTGGATTTTATTGTCAGTCATGGTAGTTGAACTCTACGTGCAACAGCCTTGAATGCTCTAGTGTACGTAGTTTCAATCGTGTCATATTATATTGCTTAAACTTATTTCAGCCGTAAACTACTCTAATCCGCGCTTACTAATTGTGTGCGTCTACCATATTATCTGTGCAATGACGACTGGTAGAACAGATTAAAATTGCTCTCGCAGTACAGATGTCACAGTGTGATTTTCATTAAATTTGTTTTAAATTTTATTTTTAAAATCTGATTTTGCAGGGAAAAGATCGTCAGAAAAATCGGAAATTTGGAAAATAAATTTGAAAAAGCTGGATTTCTGATTAAAATCGGAAAAGTTCCATCTCTTTATAGATTCCAAAGGGTACTCACAATGCTAACCCGTTTGGTACAGTCCCCAGCGATGTCCGAGCAATACATAGGCCGATGTCCAAGGGTTATGATCCATGGACGTTCTGTCCTATTCTTCAGATCATTTGCTTCCTGTACCAAAACATCACACAGATAATCACTGCACACACGAATGACCCAGTCTCAATTATCTAAATTTGGGTAGTATTTACAGTGGCTCAGACTGAGACTCACGTCCTGAGTTACTCAGATCTCAATTCCATTTTTCAAAATCAGATCTGCCTTAGCATAGGTCAATGTCTGCTGGGACCTGAACAAGGTAAAAATGTATAATCTGTTTAGGATTTTTTTAGAAATGCTCGTACAGGGTGATTAAAAAAAAGCGGAACCCAAACCCCAAAATTATATTTCATATTAAAAAAGTTATGTAGCACCAACAATAACAATGACTGCAAAGCCAATTTCCTAAGCTACTATTAGACGAAAAAATCACTGAAAGTGCTCGACCCGTTCAAAGAATATCACCATTTAAACACAAGGACCCTAAAACCTGTCTCGTCCAAAAATGCGATTTCAAGAATCGTCGTCACAATTGTCTTCATACATCATCAGCGATAAAACCTCAGTTTAAAAGTTAAAAATATTCAACAAAGTCCTTTTGAAGGGCCGTCTTTTTCAAAAAGTGGATTTTATAAATCGCATTGTTTGGCTAACCAGGGTTGTTATTGTGTACTACAGTTTATAATGGAGTGCTGTGGCCTCGTGGTTAGGGGCGCTGATTCGTGGTCTGTGGGTAAAGCTGCGTGTTGTTGGTTCGAGTCCAGCAGGGGTCATGGTGCGTGTGTCCTTGGGCAAGGCACTTTGTCACTCATTGCTTCTCTCCACCCAGGAGTAAATGGGTACCTATAGGCAGTGATGGTTATTGTGATTGAATTAGCTTCCTTGCGCCTAACAGGCAGCATCGAGCTGTATACTCCCCAGGGAGCTGAGATGGTATATGGAATGTTTAATTGGCCTAATGATTAGGTATAATAATAATATGAAGCGCTTTGATCTTAGTTAAAAGCGCTATATAAGAACCTGTTATTATTATTATTACAGTTGTTGACAGTTGTTGAAACAAGTATTCTGTGTCATTTTCTTTGTTGTTCTAAACAGTCAGAAAACGGAACACGCGGCTTTTTCGCATTGTTTGTTAAATACATTTCAGAAATATTCTGTATTGATGACGTCATGACGCATTTCTCACAATTGTAACATTTATCTGCCAATTTGCACGCCTTAAAAATCGTGAAAAAATTAAAATCTTTGTTCAAATTTATGATATAAAATTACATGATGATGTTTTATCATGACTTCAGATAATTTTACCTGTAAAACACGTACGTATCGGACTACGTTCACACACAATTTTGACCCATTCGGACTGATAGTTTTCTCAATATCAGTTTTCTCAATATCAGACTTTGAAAAATGTCCCTTTATGATTTCGCACATGCCCTACGATGACGTCATCTTGACAACAATTGTCAATACACATTTTTGCATTGAGGCCTTGGTTTGTACCAAGTTTGAAGTCAATCCAATGAAAGGAAGTGTTAAATTTTGGAAGCGGAATGAAAACGTAAAAGTAAAAATTCATTAAAATTCAACTGATGACGTCATGGTGACGTCATTTCGGAATTTGCATACTATCTAGCTATCTACCAAGTTTCAGGACGATCGGACTTTCCCTATTATGTGTTTTTAAAAATCGCATTTTTGATGACGTCATGACGACGTCACCCATTTTTCAAAATTTTGTGCATAAAACTATTACCTAACAAACCAAATACAAAAAGAATTTCGAATTTGGCTTGTTGCGTTTGTAAGATATGGCTTAAAGGTCCAAAAATTCAAGAAATTTTATAAAATCAAATGATGACGTCATCATGACGTCACCTCAATTGTTTACCTATAACACATCCCGGTCTACCTACATACCGAGTTTCAACCCAATCGGACTTACAGTTTGTAAATATAGGACTTTAAAAAATGCACATTTGTGATGACGTCACGTGACCCATGATGACGTTATCATGAGTGACGTCACTCTTCGGCACACAAGTTTGCTTAAGGGACTATGCCTATGGTAACTTTGAAGGATGTATGATATGAATGCCAAAAGTCGTGGACAGAAAAGACGTGTAAAATGTCTATGGGATTTGTGGCGACAAGAAGAGTAGGGGGAGGAGGAGGAGGAGGAAAAACGCTTTTTTCGCGCAGTTTGCAAAAAAGCCAATAAACTGCTTTTTTTGACGAAACCGTTTTTAGAGTCATTGCGTTTTAATGGTGATATTCTTTGAACGGATTGAGCAATTTCAGTATTTTTTTCATCTAAAAGTACATGTAGCTTCTGAAACTGGCTTTCCAGTCATTATTATGTTTGGTGCTACATATTTGTTTAAATATGAAATATATTTTTTGGGGTTTGGGTTCCGCTTTTTTTGACTCACCCCTGTAAAAAAGGCGTAAATCAATTAAACAACATTTGGAAACCAGTTGATTGCCAAGAAATGACTTCTAAGATTTGTAATAAACCAAGTATGACTCCAGATAACATCCCATGGATTTATTGTTATCAGTTTTACATTTTGCAAGCAATTTTTTTTTCACTTATGGTCAACAGCTTGCAGTATCCATCTACCTTGAGATCTTCTTCAAGCCACTTCAACTGGTTGACTTTTGTCTGCTTTGAATCCTCTGTGAAGAAATACACCTCCGTCGAAAATATCACGAAATGAACAGGTCCAATATTCCAGCTGGAAGACAGAAGAGGATGTATGCATAAATAATTAGTTAACCCTAACTCCCTATAGGCATTTTGCTAGGATGTAACCTCAATCCTGCAAAATCCTCCAACTGCCTCCATGTAAAAATAGCATACAGCCTCAATCCTCCAAAATCATCCATTCTTTCTTAAATGTGGTCCTTGGAGGGGTGACCACTGCCTCAATCCTGCAAAATCCTCTGGCAATCACTGTCAATATATGTTGAGGCAGAGCCAGTGACATCCTGGAGCAATGCGGAGTATTTCAAGTGTAAAATAGACCTAAATTTATGCACGGCTGAGCATCATAACAACACAAGGTCCGGCCCAAGACCTTGACACAGTGCATCCTTTGAAATCAGCAACACACTTATTTTGCCATTATCCTCAATCCTGCAAAATCCTCCATTTTGCAAAGAGTATTTTGGAGCAGGATTTGGGAAGGTTAGGATTTAATTAAACCGGTCTTTCCCATTTACCCCACCCCCCATTCCATATGTAGGTTTATGCACAACTTTGCACATCTACATCTGATACACTGACTTTCAGAAAAGTCACCAATTGTTCAGTGTTATTTGCCCCAAACGCAGTTTTCAATTTTTTTCTACCCTTATACCAGTACATTTTCTAACTTTTCTCTAGATCAAAACTTTGGTGTTTTATCCTGTAAAAGGATAATTAGAAAGGGGATATTTTGAAGCTTAAAAACGAGGAAGGTGTACTGCTGGAAAACAAGAACTTTAAGTTGAATTCCCAAAGACAAGATGGTATGTCCCCCTAAAACTTAGGATCCTTGTATATCAGTGCTACATGTCTTATATATGAATTATGAGCCTTAGTATGCAACGGACACAAAACAAGCTGACAACTCACTTATAGACCATTATCATGTTGCAGCCATTTGATTTTTTTCCCATTCAAATCAATGTAACCAAAGCGAGAAAGAAACATATGCTGGTTCATTTTTAAACAAAACAAATATCATTCAGGACTGTTATTGGACACAGAGAACATGACTGAAATGGTGGCAGCATGAAAAAGGCCTATAGAGGAAAGGTAGCTAAATATAGTGATGCTTACCTATACCACAGATTCTGGTTGCTGTCATAGGATGGCATTGTGAACCGATTCTTGTAGTGGGAAAAATTACTGTAAGGACCCCAGAAAGCACAAACAAACAAAAGAAGCGACACATCAGTGGGTTTCATGATATTTTAGCTTTCTAAATTCAATAGTAACTATCGATCATACTACTCAGAAAAATTTAAACAATTTAACAGCCACAATTGTGATGTAAGCCAGATCATTCCAAATCAGATCAGCTATCTTTCACAAGTCTTCACATTAAGTGTACTCCAAGTAAAAAAAGAAGACTATACAGCTTATTGTTGACATTTAGTGTAAGGTCAAAATATTGACAACCAAAAGTGGGACCGTAGATTGTTGGAAGAAACATCCCTTTAAGTGGAAAACAATATTGAAAAGATAATAGGCCAAATATTTTCACTGCAAGGTAGATTATAATAGTATTTTGGGACAGTTAACGTTAGGTGTCCACTTTCCACTTTATTCTTCTGCAAGTATCAAACGAGGGAATTGTGTGCTTCTTGTAGTCTTGTCAAGATATCCATTTCTTATTAAAATCAAATTGCGGAAAAAAACTTGAGAAGTAGGTAATTTATTCGCTAATAAGTGGACAACGTAACTAACGTTAAGTGGATGCCGTAACTAACGTTAAACTGGTATACTGTGATGTTTAAAAAACAGCAACAAAAAACAGCAAAAGCATTTGGCAATAGAAACATATGACTGAGCTGTTCTTGTTAAAGGGAAAATACAACATTTGCAAACATCGAAAAATAAAGCTACCAAGGTTTTACGAAATACCTTACTAGGATGTTGGTAAATGACAGTCTGAAGCATTCTGTAAAATTATGGCACCTGGTGTGAAGTCATTTTCAAGAAAATGGTATTTTTGTATTCATTTCCAACGGTGGTCGGCCGACCACCGTTGGAAAAACCTAACTATTTTTCAACTACTGCTCCATATTTACCATTTGTTTCAGTCCAAATTGTGTTTGCTATTGGTTACATGTTCATGAACGGGTGCAGGCCAGCTAGACTTGTTCCCTTACCTTACAATTTTCCGGCATCTATAACTTTATCCATTTCATCTTTAGTGGAGTCAGGGAACCAGACTACTTGAACATTTTTGTTTTTCTTGGTTTTTCAAGCATTTCGGACACAAAACTTCAAACATGTCAGTGTAACAATATTTTGTTCTATTATACTACCCCTCAACTAGTTCATTTCTGAAAATTACAGCGAAAGCCAATGATGTACATTCCCTTTAAGTAATGTTATTGATATCATTAATCTGCCTGCAGTTTTGGAGAAACTTTAATTAAGTTTAACGTTAGTTACGGCGTCCACTTAATGTTAGTTACGGTGTCCACTTATTAGTGAATAGACCTACTTCTCCTCAAGCTTTTTTTCGCAATTTGATTTAAATTTGATTTTTTGAATTGCCTTGTTTGATCCTTGCAGAAGAGTGCACAGGTCGAAAGTGAACATCATGTAACTTACGCATTTACATGATGTAACTTACGCATTAACTGTCCAAAACTACAATTACACATTGTATAATCTGCCTTGCAGTGAAAACTTGTTGGCCTATTATCTTTTCAATGTTGTTTTCCACTGAAAGGAATGTTTCTTCCAACAATTTAAGAGAAAAACTGAGAATGCAGCTTTCATCTTGCTTCAGATCTCTAATGTCCCACTTTTGGATGCCAATATTGTGACCTTACACATTAATTAAGGGGTTCCATTTGTGTTAAAGGGCCGTGTACTCTCCAAAGTATATGTCACGGGCATCCAACTTAAGGTGTGCATAGGAAAAATTACCAACTTAATTGTTTTGTTCTTCCAATAATGTACACACATGTTTTTGGTTGACTTAGGCCCCTCTTGACACTGTGGATCAAAAGCAGTATTTAATTAGCAACTCACTGGGGACTCTATACTAGGCTCATACATATTCATGATCGAGAGCCGAGTTCTCACTGGTCCATTCACCAGCACATGCCAGATGCTATTTTTGCTGTTTACCAAGCGTGCGTGAATATTTGCGCGCAGGGTTAATACACATTCGCTTTAAGACGCAATCGTGGAACTGTCGTCGCAATTAAAAGGGTGAAGTACGCACGCCCGAACATCGCCCAGCTACACATGAAAAGATGGCGGCACACATACATTTTAATTAGTGTTTTTCCGAGCTCAATGATGCCGAACTGGAGAATACTGTAGACAATAAAGATGCCTCCTTGTCTCCTCAAAAAGTTGTCCACAATGCGGAATTTATTGTTAGGAGTAATGTACTGCAAACGAACTGACTTTTTCTGAGGAGTTGAGCAATAAGTTCTGGTGAGCTGGGCAAGTTTCTCCGAAGATTTGATGCAGTGAGGTGCATACCGCAACGGGAAGAATTCGGCAACTGAATATGCATGAGGCATAGTAAAACAAATATAACATGGTTTATTTCGGGTGGATTGTCGATATTAGCTCCCCTTTGCATTGGAAGTTGACAAACTAGTTCCCGAGGTGAATAATTTGTAAACTTCCAATACCTCGGGGAGCTAGTATCGACTATCCACCCTCAAACCATGTTATATTTGTATACTCTTTCACCCTCATATCTCACTAGAGCCACTTGTTAAGGTCAAAGTGCATGTGCACACCAGTTCAAGCATGTGCTGAGAATATACACACAACCCTGTTGATATGAATATATGCGCAAACCCTATGCTTTTCTTCAAGGAATGCACCCTAATGTGCGCAACATGGTGTTAATAGAGCTGAGGCGTCCTTCAATTTCTCCTTCAATTGTCACCATTGAGGGGGTACTCTTGTGCACAGAGTCTATACATAAATTAGTTGCACTTACTATGCATATTCATGGTTTCCAACTACCGTCATATATGGCACATAGGCTGCAACAGACTCAATTTGGCGCATAAACTCATCCCCAACCGTACCGTTGTCGCTGTCAAGGTCATAGGCAAAATCTCCTAAAAATTTGACAAGAGGAAATATTGAATTTGTTAAAGAGCACGAGAAGTACACGTTTTAAGGTCTAGAATAAATTGAGAACTGATGAGAGATTACAGATTAATTACAGTGGGACTCTAGAATATTAAATTTCACTTGTCAGCAATTCCATCCTGTTAGGAAGGATCCCATCCATGGGTGTGTCCATAAAACGAAACTCACCAACGTGTAAGATGGCATCGTATTCTCCTCCCTGCGCGGCTACTTGCAAGCGACCCAATGACTGAGCATTCACGTTGCCCATGTCACCGTACAGGGCGAGGCGAGGGGTCCAGTCAGTCCCGTCCTTGAGCGCACTGAAGAAAAATAGCGGACTCCAGCCTTCGTCGCTCCCACAACGATAAACTTCATGGGGAAAAACAAAGTTCCTTTTCAAGTTTTTTTTTTACAATTGTCAAACCGGGCATATTTTCATTCTGATTTTTTTTTTGGACAGGGGACTGGAAGTACGGAGTATTTCGGCTGTGGCTCAGAACACTGTGACTGAGGCTTGGAAGAAAACGGGGCGGGGGAAATCACTGATGATCGACAATGAATTCCTTTTTTGCTGATGAACCTTTTGCAAAACTTGACCTATATAATATTGGTGGTTGAAGGGGGGGGGGGGGGGGGGGGAACACAAAGACAGTACAGGGTGAGTCAAACAAAAAGTGGTCACAAAGAAAGGCCTGTATCCTTTTCATGCATGGCTGAATATCAGGGAAACTATTACAAACTATGGTCAATACCCAGGCCAAATGTTGGCCGAAGAGAAAAAATTGTAACCTTTCCCGTTTTGGTGGGAGACAAGAACGTATCCAAAGGGACTTTTTTTTTTACTCAGCCTGTATGAGGCCTCAACTTAAGCACTTAGCTTCTGAATCAATAAGAAGAGAACCACATGCAAGTTAAAAAAAAACCTCTTGGCCTGATATTATGGGACTTAATGTTCCTGGGCAGACCATGGAGCCAGAATCAACATCAGGGCCTAAAAATCTCCAGTAGCTGATGAAGCAGGAGACAAGACAAAGTTTTGAAAATCCTCATTATTTCTGCAATGCCTTTCAACTCCCTGTTAGGTTTGACAATTCTGTGCCCTGTCCCCTCATGCACACACTTTACGAAATATTCTCCTAGGAGTAAGACTTTACTTTGAGACTTAATTAATGGAGAGTTTTGTTACTCTTACCATACTTTGTACCCGGTGTCAGACCCGTCAGTTTGACTCGATGGATGAGCTGTGCACGTTTCAAAACCCCACCGTCGACAAACTTAGTGCTGGATCCTGTGGCGTTCTGATCAGGTTTTGTCGTCCCAAACTGGACCATTGACGGAGTGTCTTCAAAAGTACTCCATGTGACAATCATTTCCGTCACATTGCCTGCAGGGAATATAACAGAGGGGTTTATAGTCTGTCGTGAATTATTCTCTCCAAAATGACACACACACACTATTTTTTTTATTCATCAGTGCATCAATAATTACAAAACAAATAAATTAATATTATGATCATACAATTCAGAAATGGCAGAAATAAATTAGATATTGGTGAAAGAGCAAGTAGGAAACATTGACTTACATCAATGGATACCATTTTAAAATCATACTTTAATCTCAATTCATTGAAAGGAAAGAAATAGCCTGAGTCTGCTATGATATGCCTGTCACAATCGTCTTTTATTTCTTCGTTTCTGTTGCGTAATTGTATTTATTATGCGCGCTACGGCTATTGCGCCACCCCCGTATTTTAAAGTAGATCACGCCAAAAGTTTTTTCACCAATCATGTACGCACATTTCTTTTTCCATCCACTCAAAAATTAAGGCGTATTTGGTCAACCTGCTAATACGCCGTGCGTCGAGTTACGTAATTATAATTGTCTATGTGGCCATGGTTATTGATGTCCGTTTGTTTCTGTGAATGGGAGCATTGTGTGAAAGAATGTTGGTTGTTGCCAAGAAGAGTTGTGTGCGTTTTCTAATCAGTGCATTCTCTGATCGAGAAAAAAGACACACCAACATTTTTTTTTGAGATCTGAGCTGAGTGTGACAGAGCTGGTACCATATTGGCTGGAGACGCCTGATACAGCAGGTTTCCGTCAGCAAATCAGTGCAATCTGCCACCGATCTTGCCTGAGCCGCCAGTTTGGCAAAATCAGTGCCAAAATATAGTCTTGGCAACGCTAAAAGCCACCTTCCCGGTCCTGTAGACTACGCTCATAGCAACACTCAGCCTTCACAAGCATCGTAATGAAGAAATAATCGTAAGTGTTGCATTTAATATTATTTCTCAACTTCTGAAAATTAGAATCTGTAGTTTACACCAATTGATTGTGATTGTTAAGAATAATACTTTTCTTGTTAAGAAAGTGCTTGAAATGATACCTTGAGATGAAGTGCAACCTTGACACGAAGTCTAACTATATACTTGACCATATATACTATGGAGAATGTGTGTACTGTAATTTTAGAGCAAAATACTGGATGGGTTTCGGTAACTGTTTTGTATTGTAGATGGCCGGAAATCTCACAGTGCGAGTTGGGTTCATGATAGATTGTAACGACTGCAAAACGACTACGATGTCAGTTTGTACACAGAGTGTCCCGTGCCGATTGACCGTGTCCTATCAGCTGGAAACGTGCCACGGAGACGAGACCCTCTACTAAGGAAAGTGCCTCGATCAGCCTTAAAAGTGTAAAACTTTAAATTTGCAGAAAGCTGTAGTTGTGTTCTTGGAATAATCATAAGAAATATAGCCGAAGTTGATTTAGCTGTTTGAAGGAATTAAGTGTGAACAAAATTGTGATTGATTTGTCGAATGGGAGCGTTATAATCTGAAAGGTTGATTTAGTTTAATTTGATTTACCCAGTTTATAAGAACCGAACAGAAGTATTGATATTTGATTAAAGTGAATTTTGAATTGTTGTACAGTCACGGTTGGATTTGAGATCCAAATTTTTTATATCTGATCGGGCTGAATTCTGAATTGAATTTTGGGGCTAAAAAGGCTGAATTGAACCAAGAGTTACGGCTGAATTTTAGAGCCATATCCTACAGTTGGATTTGATTTTGGATTGTGTCGTTGTACACTCAGTTAGAGATTTGTGATTGTTAGAAATTTACGAGTTGAGCTTGAGAAATTGAATTTGTAAACTAAGTTGTTGGAGTAGAATGTAAAACTCATAACTGAGATTGATTATGAGAAGTTTGATTGGCGAGTCCGGATCTTTGTAAATATTGTAGATAGTTTGAGTTTGTAAATATAATAAATTGGTGAATCATTTCCTTGTTTCTCGTCGTCAGTTCTTTCTGTCTTTGTATTTTAGTTTCTTTTTGACCGGGGCGAACGCAAAGGCCATTTGTGCGTTGACGTGTACGAAGACGTTTTCACGTTCACGCTTTTGCTCGCGCAACGTGTTGCTAAACTTCCCTAATATATATATTTCAACAGACCATAAAAGAAATTTAACAGCTTCCGTTCCCAATACTAAATACCCATGATGAATAGAATGCAGTAATGCTGACGCCACTTCTTTGGTTGCATGTTGTGAACAAAGCCGGGAGAGTTGTGTGTCTTTTTCAAAGTAAAGAAATGTTCAGTCCCACATTCATTCTTTTTAAACATTTTTGCAACGACTGACCTTCATTGAGAAAAAAGTGGCATCAGGATGCAACCTTCTTGGACTTCTGATATTCTGCGCCTACGAAACGTTTCAAGATCTTCGCTTTGCAGGATATCAACTTGCTCCGTCATACACCCGTGAACGTGGCGTAGCCGGCCATGTTCACGGGTCTAGCTCCGCCATGCCAATGCGGAAAACTCATTTTCAGCGACCGTCGTATCGTGCATATGTCGGTCCTACCTGTGGCAGAAAGATGAACTTGTTCCGGTTGTGGCTTCACCTGACCATTTATTCTCGCAGCAAGACAAACACAAACAACCAAAACCCGTAGTCCGGTGATTTCCGTCATTGTTGACTCTGTTTTGAATTCAATTTGTCGAAAACAACTAGGCTAAATTATAGCCTCCTCAACGTCACTCAAACAAACATGGAGGAAGACTTCCTCATGCTCTAAACTACTGCGCGCGTCAATGTTTTCCGTTTATTTCCGTTTCCTCATTCATGCACCAATGCAATCATCATGTGACCATACAGGCAAGTCACGTGCCTGATATTGCGCCACGTTGCGCATTTGCTTTTTGTTCACAACTTCAGCTATTCAGCTAAACACTAGCTCTGCGGGGCTTTGAACCTCGTATATACAGCACCTTTTCTAAAGGCTTTTTTTTCCGTTCAATGACGCATGTATACCACATACCATAATCGAAAGAGATTTTCTTTCTTTTGATAATGTGCCACGCGTGAACACAATTTTTCGGCCCAAGCAGGCTAGACTGATTCCCGCCCCTCTCATTATCGATAATGTAGGGAGCCGGAACGCCAAATTAAAAATATATTTTTTTGGAGATGTAATATTTTTTTTTTAGGTATCGGCCACCCAAATAGATTTTTTTCCTGTCAAAATTATAATTAAATTAAACAGCACGGACAGAACATCTTGAACTTTACTTTGACAAACATTCACTTATTAGGGGGTTTCTTGTATCTGTTTAAAGGGCACCACCCTTTTTGAATTCCGGTCTAAAACCTAGACACTTAAATTGTCCAATATAGCAGTTTAGGTGAGGAAAGTGGACCATGTATAATAACTGAATGAATCTGACGCTCATCAACAAAGATGTTTGGCAACACTGCATGAAGAAAGTCACGGGGAAAAAAAAATTGAAGTGCGCCACATTAGCGGACTGTAATATAAAACACTGCTGTATTCTTATCATACAATTAGCAATGAAACAAAGTGATTGTGCTATCCATAAAAAGGCCTTTATTTCTCATTTGTCCATTTTGGCCGTATCATAAGTCCGACGCCTCCTGTCCGACAATGGAATTTATGAGGCGTCGGAGCTATGAGGCGTCGGAGCTATGAGGCGTCGGACCTATGAGGCGGAATTATGCCTCATAAGTCCGACGCCTCATAAGTCCGAAATTTCAGACTTATGAGGCGTCGGACCTATGAGGCGTCGGACTTAGAGCGGACCCCCATTTAACTTTTTAGATTTGTCAATCTTCCTATTGCTATGACATCAAGCTTGTTAAAAACACCAGTGACTTCATTGTATTACATTGTATTTATTCACTGAAAAATCAATAAAACCAGTGAGTGCTGGGGTTAGTTCTCCTTTTTACAGACTCGTGTCTGTATACAATTCCATGTATCTTCTTACTCGAAGAGAATGAGCAAGACACAAAGAAACAAATGCTTGTTTCTCTCCCTGTGCTATTTTCGAGCATCACACCAAAATATAGAATTTGATTTTAAATTGCTATTTTTCTAGCAATTCAAAGGTTATCCACTTTTAAATGTGACATCCCCTACAAAATCTGCCCATGTTTAGTTATGGAATATATTCTTGATGTCCCTTAGCTCTAAACATTCCTGTTCATAAACCTTGAGCTTGCCTACCAATTACAAATTTTATAGAAAATTTTTAATATGGAGCGATTTTCTGAATTTATTTTGAAGTGCGCAGTGAACCCTTTTAAAATGCGCCACAAATGCTCTTTTCACTATGTAATTTCTGAGATTTGTTCTGGTGCGCCACATTAGGGAGCACTCGGCTGATATTGCGCCCACATTCCGGACGCCACTGTTTTTACTTTCGGACAAAATTTCACGACACTCAAGTTGTTCACAAGGGTTCAACAGCAAACATTACTAAGGTAAAAGTACCAGTTTTTAACTTGAAGGATTTGAAGCTTGTTAACAAAGGGGTTGACACTGCATGAGGAAATTGTGTGAAACGTCAAAGCGCACGACGCTAGGGGACTCCACCATAAATGTATACTGTATGAATTTCAAATTATTTTTGGCCTGACATTTGCTTTTTCTGATCACTTTTTAGAAAAGCAACTTGGTATAAGGCTAATTTGACAGTATCTTTTGATATAAAGTGCAATTTCTTGTGCATATTTCGGGTGAAGCCATGCGAATCATGGTGATGGCTATTTATATTTTCGTGATGGGTTTGCCATCTGAATCGTCATTTTACCCCAAACCCCCCCCCCCAATCAAAACCAAGCACTTTATCTGCAACATTCCTGTTGATTTGAAACATCGTGAACTTCATGAACATGGGTGAGTCCAATAACGTAAAAATTGATCCTTCAAAAACAGTCAATCTGCTTTTCTGAAAGCAGAAAAGCAGCTAAAAGCAGATGTCCACTTTTCGTCCTCCATAGAAGAAATGCACAATGTTTCACCATCGTCAGCAACACATTTTATTTCGTTACACCGAGACAGCTGTGGATGGGTATCAACTTGGCTCTGCTTTGCCCACGGGAGCACTTGAGTCTTTGTCTTGCTGCGTACTATCTGACTTCTCCTGCTGTCCAATCTGTTCTACCCCTCGCTGCTTTTCCTGCATGTGTTCTGGCTTTTCTATCTGCTTCTGATCCTGCAGTTTCCTCCACAGTTCAGATCGGGCTTGGCTCTTGGAGATCATTTCCTTGATGGGTTCCAAGGCATCGATTCCGACGGAATTGCCACTTGATGAGAAGGGATTACGGCCCGAGAGTCTCGTTAACCCAAGAACCATCATGGCTAATATCAAAAGACAAAAAAATATCTGCATTACCATTAACAGCACAGTTGTTCTCTCCAACTGTTTTTGTTGCTTTCACATTTTACAGCCCCCCCCCCCAAAAAAAAGCTGTTTATTCCAATTTCAAACTGGAGATGCTTTGTTTATGACATAATTTTATTTTAACTTCTGATTTTTCCAAACTTCTTTTCAAAACTCCTCAAATTCATCCCAAATTAATATTTCTGCACATAATACATATGGGTTGCACAAAATCATTATGTCGGAATCGTTTCATCAATGCGACACCTGCCTCTGAAAATATTTCAGGTTCCTCACAAGAGTCATAGCACACAGTTAGAGCTTGATAGTGATTAATAACTCTTCTAAGCCCAACTGTACAGCTCTGATAAGCAGAGAATCCTAGGTATCTGTCTATACACATGCCCGTAACCAAAACTATGCTAAGCCTCACATGCTAATTCATTGTTTGCACTGAATTTTCTACCTGTTGAGAGAACATTCTTTGTTTATGATACATGCAAAGCCAAATCTCAAATCTCTGTGTGCGACCCCGGCAAAACATTTTGGGAACCCTTTCGCACATTTTCTACGCGGATCTGGTGCTTCACACAGGTTAAAATTCAACTCGGATCTGAACTAGGGTTGAGAGGCTCTACCCAGGTAGAAAATCCAACATCTACGGCCGACCTGTGTGGTGTGTACACACTGGCGTTAGTGTGAACGGTATGCCTTGCCTATCCGTGTTGGATGGAACCCGGTTCTGCTTACATTGGACCCCGTTTTAATTTCACCACGGGTAGGCGAGACAGTTGTGTGAAAGATCTTCAGCTAAGCCCCGATATCCTGCATACCTGATCCAGCCAAGGTGGACGGGATGAAGCCCCATCTTCTGCCCAACTTGCTGGCCCGATTGTAGCCCACGTAAGCGACATAAAGTCCAGCCCCTATCATGCCGCCTCCACCAATGAACCTGCAACCCGCGCAATCCTCCAAGCTGAAATCGTCAACCTCCTCACGGAACTGCTTCTGCTGTCGCCTCCACCAAGACTGTTGGCCCTCTTCACCGTCATTTATGTCCTTTTCCATTGTTACTTCTGCAAAGTGTATAAAAACAGCTTTTCATTAAAACTGCAAAGTGTTCACAATTAAGCTAAGAAGATGGTGGATATTTAGCACACGCCTCAGGCACCGAATTTCTTCAATAAACGATTGTGCAACGCCCTCTTTGACGCGTATACGAGTAGGCCTACATTATAACATTTGTCAGGCGTGTGGGGCGGCTGGCCATACAAACACGAGGTCATGAACTGAATAATACATATTCATAATCTTGCTCAAGCGCGCCCGCATAATGCATACATTACAACGCGGCCGCCATTTTGAAATCGCATGGAGGAACATTTTCGGGACAATATTCGTGGGAGATGATGACTGAAAGTCGTCTTTTGGCCAGATGAATGAAAAATTTTGGATAAAAGAACGTTTTTACAAAAAGGTATGAGTTACTCTACAACTACGAACCTCAACTTTGTAAATTTCGTTCCTGGATGAAAAGATAATCTTGATCAAAATCGGTAGCAAAATCGCTACATCAGAGTTCAGGGTTGAGGGGCGCATTGGCGGTCTGGCCGTACTACAGAGCTTGCGATAGTACTGTACGGCCAGATGCAGTCGGGCTACAGTCTAGCTAGTCGAGCTAGCCTATAAACAATGCTAGGCTACATGTAAAATACAAACTAACAAAGTGTCCTTGGCCAACCAAAGACAGACAGTTATGGACAGTCTTCATCTGGATTGAATATCAGTTGTTTCATGCTATATAACCCGGAACTCCTCACGGAAAGATTGCCATATACGAAGTTCACTCAACACCCTGTGTGTACAAACCCTATGAGATTGGACTGAAAAATTCTAAGTGTTTTCTAAGAAAATGCTAAGTTGTATTTTCTCACTGCTCAAGTCAAGTTGACTTTGATGACATGAAATTGCTATCTGGGGCTTGTTAGTCAATACAGAGGCAAATTAGTGAACTTCGTATATGGAAAGCTTTCCCTCCTCACAAATACTGTTTGATGAAAGCAGAACGGGGGAACCAGGTGCCAACTGACGATTTCTACTACTTACTGTACTACTAGTTCATTTCTAATCCATGTAATCCGTGGAGGCAGCCATTTTCAACCCTGGTCAAATTTTACCACTTGGTGGCGCTCCAATACTCGAGTGGACGTGTAATAATTACATGTCTATGGTAATTTCAAGGCACGGTTAATACGTTTGCCCTCATTCACCTTCTGTTTAATTTGCTTTTTTGGGGGGGGGGGGAGGGGGAAGGCACTGTGAGAAACCAATTAATTTTGAGAGATTTTCCCAGTGATGGAGGACTCGAGTCCGGACTCAAACTCGCGTCCGGACTAGGCATATTCTTTTTGGACTCAGGACTCGGCTCGACTGGACTCAAGTCAAGGACTCGGCTTTGGCTCGGCTCGAGGCTGACTCGGACACTCGTCGGATCGGACTCGAATCTAGTCCATTTCAAAAACCTGTTTCTAAACTTGAAACATAAGTTTAAATTGTTTTAAAGACGGTCCCAAGTCTGTTGTCTGATCACTTTTAACTCTTGCATGTGGAAAAAAATCTTTTAGATACCCTGGCACTGTACACGCAAGGGACCGATTTGACACTAACTGTAACTCTCTTCTACTGTACGGTGCGCGCACGTGTTCTGCTCAAAAGGGAAAAAATAACGTTTGCGACTGGACTCGGACTTGGCGCGGACCGGCTTGACAAGTTGGACCCGGACTTGAGCTAGACTCGGACAAAAATAGTACCGAACTTGGCTCGGACTCGAGTCTTAATTCGTGGACTCAGCTTGGCGCAGATTCGGATGAGATTGAATCGACTACATCACTGGATTTTAATTTTCCATATGATGATCATCTTATATAATGTCAAGTAACTGGGGCGCTAGAACGCTTTAAAAAAAGAAGAGAGAATGTCTAGCGCCCCGTTTTATCTAGTCCCGATCCTGAAGCCCATCGCCTGATAGAAGCACATATAAAGTTCATCATGCCAGGTATAATTTCTCTTGTTCTCGTACCGGTAGCAGTTTTGACCTTTAATTCTTTTGTGGATACGCTTCTTTTTGTGTCGATTACTGTCAAAACACAAATGGCCTTGAAAGGAGCTTCTGTTTCACTTTCAGGAGTTCCTTCGGCCAGTCTTATCACTAGACAAAAATTTAACGGCACCACCGTGCTCCACAGATACAGTGACCGATTTCAATAACAGGTAGTGCTTCGAGATGGCTATTTAGTATTTCTAATTGCTGGATGTGAGACAACAGGAAAGTTTGTGTTACGACTGAGATCTATGCATAATTTCGTGTTCTAGTAAGTAATTAAGTAAGTAATTATTTTGACCAAACCATTCACCACAAACTGGAGCTATAATGTTGCAGCCACCGCAGCCGACATGGAAGCTCATAATATTGTGCGCAACCTCCGCCAATGTAACAGACTGATACAAGTAACCGTATATATTTCACTATAAAGAAAGGGCTACATCAGCGTTTTTGGTATTCGGAAGCGCACTGCATCCGACCGGGGTCTACCCGATGTTCCTCAATACCTAGGCCTATGTTCCCCAATATCGATTTCCCCCGAAAATCCTTAGGGTTAGGGTTAAGGTTAGGATTATATGGTAAGGATTTCGGGGAGCATCGCTATTGGGGAACATAGGTATGCACCCCATCCGACCTGGTTCAAACATTTTGCTCTGGGAAGGAACATTATAAAGGTAAATTAACTGGAATACTGAGATATTAGTCGTATCGTGCTTGTGCATTTAACTATGGAAACTCACAGGCACGAGAAGGATACGCGAGTTTATTTGTGGAAGGTAGAGATTCTGTCTAATTTATCTTGTGAAGACACCGGCACCGTTATAACCCAGATCCATTCCCCAGCACAGCTAATAAAGTACCGCTATATCCACTTTCTTCCAAAACTACAGAAATAGCCCCGACCGTTATTCGTTGTAATCCGGATTATCGCCATAACAATGCTTTGCATACCAGTAGCCGGTGCGACATGTATTGATAATTAGACATAACAGCCCGAGTCTTTTGAGTGGACGATGTACATTATTAGCTCGCTGTATCAAGAGGATCGATATCTTCAAGGGTGTAGGCCACGCACACAGCACCTGAAGAAGCGGCATCTCTTTATTTATAGCAGAGGCAAGCAGTCGTAGCAGTGGTTACCTGTGCTATTACTGTAATCACCCTGCCTCCCTGCACCGTTATTGTGTACAGTTGCTTTCAGGACTGATTTTCCAGCGGGAGGTAGCTTCAAAGATGGAATTATTTCAAGCATGTAAGCTGCTATACCCGTACCTGCGACACAAGCGTGAGTTGTGAGGATCCTGGTAAGCTCATTGTATAACAGACTGAATGTTGGCCCAGTGCGTTGTCAAACAACAACCACATTGTCAATTTCATCGTGCATGCAAAACCTTGCATTATCAACCACTACAGAAAAGCAAGCAACACCTGATTTGCCGTATACGGATGCGGATTTTCAATGATGTTTGATGAAGACGACGATGTACGATCGAACAATGTAATAGGTCGATGCCAGGTAGTGTCAAATCCTGGCCGGCATGACAGTGCGGTACATCACGTACGTCTCCATGCAGAGGAGGCAACTACTGATTGCGAAAAATGAAATACTGCATCACGGTACGTCCGTAATGGGAATATTTGTGATGGCAACAAGAGATGTGAACTTTTTGTAGTTGAATAAAACATTATTGAGAAACACAACAATGTCTTCGCTTTTTCCTGCAACTCGGACCAAAGATGAGGCGCTCCAGTCCATGGACGAGGCCTACACAAAATCTAAGGAACTTCACATTCTCCAGTTCTTGAAAGATCAGAAGCAATTGCAACGCCGACTTGAGATGTGTCAGTTTCGATCAGACAACGTCGCTCATCAGTCCGGCCGACGGGAGTCGATACACCGGCTGAGACCGCTGACTGCCCAACCAAGGAGGACCTCTTCAGAAAGCAACCCATCAGAGGTGTTTCTCGGACATCTAAGTCTACGTAAAGGGCAAACCCAAATTGGTAATGCAGCCACAACACAGTTGCTTAGTCCTCAAGACGGGGCAGTGACGAAACTCTATACCAACGGGGATGTTATACATCGGGAATCTCAACGGCCGGAGTCGGCCAGGGACCTCCGTGCTTCGTGGTCTGCAGAGGAGGAACTTGGTGATGCGTTATTCGATCACGAGGTGGACCTAGATGCGCTATCCATCACCAGCGTTCGCAGTGCAAGCCCGACCTGGGAAGATTTAGAGATATCGGATGATGCGCCATCAGGAACTTCAGCGCAGAAAGTCTCGCACGAATCGAATATCCTGGAGGGAAATTATGGGGAAAATGCGACTGGCAGGAGACAGCAAGTTCATCTGAAGCGTGGCCGACGATCCCTCGTCGGTGTATCAAATGTTAGCAGGACCCTCAGAAGCAATTCGGTATCCGTTAGATGCCAGGGTCGAGATTCTGTGAACTTTGCGGGCCAGGAAAGCGGCGCAAACGGCGGCGGAGGTTCAACTCGTCCTAGACGGAGCTTTGTGAGGCACCAGTCAGCCCCGACGGACCTCCACGATGACGAGATTCTGTCAAAGCTCGGGAAATTGGGGGTTGTTGGGGTGGGTAAGCGGAACGTGTTTAGTGCGCATGAGCCCCTGCCTCCGGTACAGTCAGCAGCCACTGTAGAAACGGACGCCATTCCACAGGACCAGGATGAACAATAACTAATGAATGTTCTGGTTATTAACACAGCTCTGAGTAAAACATTATGTAAAAAGTCGAGACATAAACGGCCAACATTATTTATTTTCCAACTTGAGGACGGGCCATGGGTTTGTCTATGTCAAAATCCTAACCTATTCCAAGTCACAATACTAACACAGGATTGCCACAATGAATGGGACTAAAACAAATATTTTCATTCAGAAACGTACTAAAATAAGTCCGTGAAATGTATGAAAATTTAGCAACCCGGGTAGAGTTTTAATTGCTTAATGAGGTACAGATAATGTATCAAAACACAAAGAAACTATTTCTGTTTACTCAAAACCGAGTGTTTATTAATTTTTATGTAAACTCAATTTGCAATCAAAAGTCACGGATTTTTAATATTTTTTTAAAACCGTTTAGTTACATTCGTCATAGATCCACACCCTATACCGCTTGTGATGAACTAAAGTTAAAAACATTACCACCAAGCCGTGGTTATTCTAAAGGACACAGACAATGTCAACGTTTAATATTTAATTGACAATCACATCCACTTGCATGAGTTATTTTTAAATGCGTATAATGACTATCAATATTGTGAGTATGATCCGTTTGTTTGACATCACTCGGACAAAGTAACACTGAATAGACACCTTGCATCCGATGTCACATCTGAGGACAGATGTACCGTATGACTCGAAACTTTGTGCGTCCATTGTCACTAAATATTAAAGAGCAGTTGCTTTTCATGTATTTTGTTCCTTCCCAATAATAACACCACTCAAAAATCCAATGAAGAATGTTCAGAACCTAGCCTGTTGAAGTTTCAGCTCAGTGGAGTACACTTTTGGAGAAAAACCATGCACAACCTTTTGACCACAAACACGATTTCGTCCACAACACTCTTTATTTCCAAAAATCAGCCTTATCGACTGTTGGTTGGAATCACCACATTCCTTGATTTCTTCAAAATGACAGCAAGCCAGACGGCATAATTTCACGGGACGTTTAGTGCTAGTACGATCTTTAATCAAAGTAGGCCTATTAGTTTAAAAAATAAAAATTCGGTATGAATTGCTCTTGGGATAAATGCAAATGATTCTACATGCATTTAAATAACAAAAATTGCCCTCAGTTGAAGGGGCACCATGGAAAGTTTCTGTAAAATATTTCAAAAAACATTTCTTGTGGATTGTCTTTACTTGTACATCAACACTTTAAACTTAGTTTATGATTTTGATTATTTCTTCCTCGATTTCGGGCAATGAGTCTAGCAACCTTTACTTTTTTCAGAGAACTGTTTCGCAAACTGAAGAATCCCATAAAAACTAAGAAAATGCCATAAGGATTATAATTTTTTTCTTAGGGCCTAATTGTGGGCGTGACGTGCTATGACTTTTTCAAACCCC